CGCGGCGCACCCCTCCATCCAGCGCAATACTAACTGCATTTTGTACTCACCCCGGCGCAGCACAGAAATCACGTCCCCGTCTAAGCTGCATATTATCGAGTGCTGTCGTACGCAGGTTCGCTGAGCTGGACAAAGGGCCCACAAATTGGAGGGAGCAGCCCAGAAATCCTACTAGGTGCAATGCAAAAAGATGAGCAGTACGGTACTGGGATGGGACCGATGAATGATAATGATGATGATGAACCGAAGAAGTTCGTTAAGCTGACAAAACAAAATTGAAAATACTACCACGTTACCTTAAATGCTTGGCTGCTGTGTCAACCCCAAGCTCAAGATTCCAATCTTTGCTGATATTTTTTTTTTTTTGCTCTTCTTTTGAGTTTTCATCCAGAAAATCTACTTCTTTTTTTTTTATTGTATGTTTCTGTCTGTCCACATCTCCCTTGTGCTTTTAGCATGATTTTGGTTCTTGTGAAAAGATATTATGTGTACAAGTTGTACGTTGTTTCTTATTTTTTTAATTAAATTGAACATTTTATTGATAAGAATAGTAAGTTTGTACACGGAATGTAGAATTTCTATTACATCAATAGTACTCTATGCTATATAATGCTAGTCAACTAAAACAAGTCAGAGGTAGTCCCAACTCTATAGCTAATTCTAAACTTGTCTTGTTTACAGGAAATTTTTTCCAACCTGCCACTACATCTCTTACAGCAGTATGCACTTCATGAATAATGTACTCTTCTTTTACAAGCACGTGTTTGAATAAAGATTGGTTTCTAGCCTCCCATATATGGTATACCACCCCAACATATACCAATCTCCTCACTTGATTAGGAAAAGATTTGGACTTCCAATGGGCATTTAACCATTGTACTTCATTTGTCCATGGTAGAGTATCTCCAGCAGACAAGCACATGTGTAACAAGTTTTTCTACACCTTCCTTGAAATGGAACATTCAAAGAACAAGTGATACATACCCCACGGGATAGTTCAGTCGGTCATGTAATCCTTATTTAAGGCATTGACCAGTGTTCGAATTCCGTGATTACCGAGTTCGGAGTGGGTTGGGACGCCCTCTCTCGAGCCGCAGGGGAATTAGTCAGGCCGATGACCTAGATATCCCCTGTGTCGTCCAAAAAAGAAAGAAAAGAAGAAGAACAAGTGATTCATGGTCTCCAATTGGCCTTGACATAGCTTGCACAACTTACCTTCCGGTCTTACCCCCTAATTCTTCAATCTATCCGTAGTATTTAATTTCCTAAGACATAGCATCCAAACAATAAAAGCATATCTCGGAAAAATGAATTTCCTTTATTTTTTTTATAGTGAATAGCGAAACTCGGAAATAACTTGTCTAAGGCAACTTTGGCCATTAGGAGGGATTAAGAATCCCTTTCTCAGCTGTAGACCAACAGGACAAACACACCACACCGTAACTCAAAAATCCAGAGGTGTGTCAATAATGCACCCCTTTAATTTTAGGTGGACCTCCTCCTCTAACTCCTTATATAACTTAGGTTTCCCATTAAGTATAGGTGGTGTCATTTATAAGAGAAAGAAGGAGGACTATATTGTTTAACTTCTATGCACGATGATTAAATCCATTGTAATATAAGCTTCAACTGCACTTAGTTTTTCTGCAATGCCTTTTTTTAAAAAAAATTTATTTCGAGTACGTATTGTCTGCCTAAACGGCATCTATTTGTTTGCTTAAAACAATCTTAATCTATTTTAACTGTGGAAATCATTAGATGGAGATAAATGTATCAGTTAATGCAGTTGAGTTATTCTAGGCTGACTGAGCAGTTCCCGCTCTTCAAACTTTCCCCAGTGATAAATTGCACATCTGTATTGACTCTTTAAGTAAATTTCCATGACAGTTAATATTCCTTGGAGAAAAGGGAATACAAAACTTTCCGTAAATAAGCCAAAAGATCTCCAAAATCATTTTGAATTATCTATCACCTGACACTGTGTTTAGATTATATCATCTAACAAAAGTACCTAAGTTACTGTTGAGGGAGGTCAAATGCATCCGGATGTCGAGCATTGAGCAAGAATGTGCAAGAGATTTCTTGATTGCAGATGACATGATACAAATGTTTCTTGATTGCGGTTACAAGTATGCATCAAGATTGGCATTGAAACTCACAAATGGCTACGAATCATTTCAGATGAATGGGGTCATGATTTTTCTATCCACCACATCTCTAACATCTTTCCAAAATGTTGAGTCAACGTACAGCTGTTATATAGCGTATTGGTTCACAGGATTGGAGGAAAAGGAAAAAGACATCTTGAATCATGAAAGTAGAAAAATGTTGCCAAAAATGGCAGAAAGTTATGAACGAGTTTCATATGCAGAAAAAGAAAAGAAAAGAAAAAACAAAGAAAGCTTACGGCCATCTTGTTTGTGTTGTCTCTATTTGCTGCGACTTATAAGTTGAAGGCATTGGTTTGACAAATTTATATGGGGCTGGCTATCAATGCTCTGGATTTATTTGGAGAATGTAACAAGGTGGTTGTTATCGTGATGTGATGCTCACATTGTATTCTCATATAAGTTGTGAAATGAACGAAAAAACAAGTTTCACATCTTAGTTAACTTTCAAATGCTTTGCCATAATCCTATCAGGAAATGAGCTTAATTTGAGGCTATCCCCCTCTTAAAAGTTTTTTAAAAAAAAAGAAAAAGTCTAATTATGTATGGGGATCTCGTTATAGTAAATTATCTGTCCTTGTCCGCTTAAATTTGTGGCAAAAGTTAATAAAAATAAAGTGAGGAAGCAACAATAATATATTTAGGGATTGAAGAATAAATTCAGGGATCATGATCGATAAACCTGCAGGCTGACAATTTAGACTCGTTCTGTTGCTTTTACATCCGGAAGTTCTTTAATTTCGAGGAGATAGATAGAACAAATGCAAAAGTTTTGTATCTCCTGGAGACAGATGAATATCTAAGACATGCTTCCTCTAACCGTGAGCAAGAATACGGATTAGGGCGCGCATTTGATTTTAAGGTCAAGAAGTTTTATCTGAGTTGATATACTAACTAAATCACTAATACTGGGGACACCCAAGCTGAAGAAGATACCTGAAAATGAAAGATGATTTGGTAGCTGTGTTTTTTTGCAGCAAAAATCAACTTGACAATAAAGGTGCCAAAGATCCTTGTTGCAGGCCTTATTTTTGAGTACGTGGGGGGCTATGATTGTGAGATGCTATTTCACTCACTTCTTAAATTGTCCTATACCATTGATTTTGCAATGACTCCAAGTTGTTTGTCCAAATCTTTGTCATCCCTGAATCGTGAGACTCTCCAGCTAACTACGTACAGGACCACCAATGAGATGAAAACAATTGATAGAAACCACGATCAGATGAATAAAATTCTGCCAGCAACCTGGCCTCGGTGAATCAATTCTGGGCATCTTTCTTTAATTTGCTTGCTTATCGGCATGCCCGCCTCCTTCAATATTCACAAGCATGAGAGAAAAAATAAATGAATAAATCTTGTGTTTGATTTTACTCGAGGAATGAATTTAACCCCTAAAATCTCGTTACAACCATGCACGGACAAAATTATTTATACATTAGAACAAAATTTTGATTGCTGAGTTTTAAACCAAACATTTGCAAGAAGGGAGGCTTGAACTTGAAGCTGCTGGCAGGGTATTCGAATTCGACTCATGCTTCTCCGTGAGTGACGGGGCCCAAGCAGCATCCATCACCTGGGGAACGTCCATCCTCTGATGATTAATGGATTTGTGTCCCAAAGAAAAATGTGATATTATCGAAGTCAATAATGGCTTAATTCCTTTTTATTTTCTTTTTAAGAAATTAATGAGGTGAATTCTTTCGGACGTGGATGAAGAAGATTCGTTGCCATTTGATGCTGGACAATATTCAATGCACTTACAACAGGTGGCAGCAATATGCAGGGAATGACTCCTTCGTTGCCTAACCCAACAAGAAAGCAAACTAATTAAGCTGCTTCAAAAGCAAACTGCTGCATGAACTGAAGCATTTACACGCGATTGTAGATAATCATTTAATGACAAGTTAAGATTTTCTAAAAAAAAACAGCCTATCTAATCTATTTACAATTTCGTCCCTAATCCAAACAACATTCCCGTCTATTCATATTGAATCCATCCGAACAAGATCATCATCCAATATGTGAATTACTTACTCTGCCCTGTCCTTGTTTCTTTTCCTTCCTATTCCCTCAAAACAAACGAACACTCGAATACTTCTTCTTATGGAAAAAGGAAAGCTAAGAAGAGAGAACATCACTAAATTAAAGCTGCACAGCAACAGTCGGGTGTTTGGTCCTTCGGTAAGCGTACAGCAAACAGAAGATGGAGTAGGATAGATATGGATGGAGTAGGAGAAATGGGCAGCCACCATAAATTTCATTTACTCCCACACCACACTGAAATTTCCGAATATGGTGCAGCAGAGAAGAAAGCCGCAACAACGACACAACGCTTAAAACTGAGCTCGTGCCCATTCATGCCGTGAATGAGACTTTTTAAAAAGACTTGTTACAAAACACTGAAGAAAACCTTCCCACTTGCTCTCCCACTCACTCATTCATTCAATTTCATTGTTTTACCTAACTCAATTGCTCTTCAGAATCACGTGTTCTTACACGTGCCATTCACATCAAACATCCACAAATTCCATCCTTTACTACCATACCAACTTTAATAGTAAATGTTTGCACAGAACACAACCATCAATTTTAATTTTAATTTTAATTTTTTTTAGACTAATAACAACAACGTATATGTCACGGAGTCGTGTTTTTTTTTCTTTCTTTCTTGTTTTTTTGTCTTTTAGTAAATATATATATATATATATATATATCTCACCAAAAATTAACAATGACATTTTTACCATATGTCATAATATTACTCATAAATCAACAAATAAACACTACTACATGGTACATACATACTAGTAGTACTACTACTACTTTTTAAACCCATAAACAAAATTGGCCACAATAAACTAATAAATAACCCAAAAAAAAAAAAACATAGAGAGAAAGAGGAAAAAAAAAAACATCCGATAGAGTAAGTAATTCACATATTACTTCATGCCTCAAAACTCAAAACTGTCAAAAAAAAAAAAAAGCTTTTACGGAGAAAGAAATCTCAAAGGGCCACCAGAGGATCCTTTCCAAATATGTCTCCCAAGTCTGAAAAGAAATCATCAGGCATTGCCGATCCAAACTCTACACTCTCACTCGAATCCACGAACGTATTATCAAAATTCCTAGCATACTCGAAAATATTTGAGTTGTCCTCGAACAAATCGCTGAAGTCCACTACTGGATCTTCAAACTCGAATCGCAAGTCCTCTGGAATCAACGAATAATGCGAGAAGTTCTCCGATACGCACATCTCCTCGCCACAGCTATCACGCCTTTCCTTTCCGATCCCGACCACTTCTTCGTGTAGAGGACTGGGTAAACACGACTCCGCTTCGGCCTCCTCATTGCTGTTCGACGTGGAAGCAAACCGCAGGACAGACTTGGGAGAGCGTTGGTTGTTGTGTGACTCCTCGCCGGAGTTGTAGCCGGAGCACGTGGCGGACTCCGGTGGAGGCGAACTGACGCTTCTCGCCGGAGGGGTTGCGAAGTTAGTCAGCGCGTCTGGTCCACGCAACTGTATAGCCGCGTGGTCATAAACCATGGCCGCCTCTTCGGCTGTATCGTAAGTGCCCAACCACAGGCGGACACGTCTCGAAGGATCTCTAATCTCAGCCGCCCATTTCCCCCACGGCCGTTGTCGTACACCGCGAAACTTCTTAACATTGCTCCCCTCAGCTACCCGCGTTTGCTTTCCCTTCCCAACGCCACCGCTGCTCTTTTTCCTCTTCTTATTAGTAGTACTAGTACCATTCCCAGCGGCCGCCGGAGCAGCAGACCCCCTACTCCTCCAAACGCTGTTAACATTTCCGGCACTCGTACAAGCATTAACGTTCCCGTCGCCGTTGTCCCTGAAGGTCTCAATCTTGACCTCGTTGATGAACCTCTTAACCCTGTGTCTTCGTTTGAAGGCCTCCTCATCTTCGTCGCTGGAGGAGTCAGTCGCGTCAGCGTCGGTGACGGAAATCCGCACGACTCTAGGTTTGACGGCATTCATGTCCGGTGACTTCCTTGTCCGGCCGGCGAGGGAGGGCGGTAAAGGGGAAGGTCTGACCATAGTGGTCTGCTTCCTGTGCTCAGTGTATTTCACTCCTTTTTTATTAGTCAACATGTCTTGCATTCTTTGTTGGTCCATCGTGTTGGGGGAGACAGTGGAAAAAGAAAGAGACCCGAGGAAAAGGAGAGAAGATTATGAGTCAGGTTCGCATTTGAAAGCGAAAGGGGGTAGAACCCAGAAGCAGAAGTGAGGAGAGGAGAAGGGATGGAAGAGATTCTCGGAATAAAGGGGCAGCTGAACGTTGCTAAAGATCAAACGCCCTTGAAATTAACACTGCAAAATAAAAATTACCATGGGTTTCTAAGATGAGGTGACCAAAAAAGGAAGAGAAAGTTCGAGGAAAGGAGCAATAAAAGAAGAGATGTTTACTTAGGAAAGTGAGTTAAAGATAGATACATAGATGGATAGATATCTTCCAAAGCCTTCTTTTTTAACTCTCTCTCTCTCTATCACACACACACACACTCAAGGGTGTGTTGGAGCAAAAAGAGTGAAGATGAGAAAAGAGAAACATGCAGGAAAGTGTATATATATTGGTGAAAGTTTTTGGGATGGAAAAGGAAAGGGAATATATGTTCCAGAAGAATCACAAGCGGTGTCCCAAAAGCTTCATGTTTCTGTTTCTGCTCCTCCTGCCTCTGCTATAAAAAAAAAAAACAAAAAATCCAAAAGCTCAAAAATTCAGGGGATGGATGTCAGGGAGGGTGGTGCGCTTGAGGCTTTGAGCAGGAGCAGATGGAGAAAAGGAGGCAGAGGTTGTGGAAGAAGAAGAAGAGAGCAAGAGGGTGAGACTGTGAGACTGTGAGGGAGGAGGAGTGTGTATTCAGTTGGATTGTAGACCGAAGCTACTGCTGGAAATGCTGTTTTATAGGATACGATTGTTTCAAAAGAACTACTATTATTATTTAATTAAAAATAAAATTCTCAAAATTAAACAAATATATTAGTAGATACTCTAGTCTAGTAGTTTTGTTTTTACTTATAGTAGTAATTTGTAGTTATGCCGGTTTAACCTTCAGTTAAAATTGATTAGTAATTCTGGTCTAATCAGAGAGTGATGCAGCGGAGATATTTTAGGCGAGCCGCCGCATCTAGTGGAGAAAGCAGTACGATCTTGACATGTGGATAAATGGGGTCAATAATTTAACGGCAAGCAATGAGTGATGGATGGATTGTAGATGGTGTTGAATCAGTTACAGCAGGCTAAGGGTAGTTTTTTTTTTTTGGGGGGGGGGGGGGGGGCTTTTTCTTTGTACCGGTAGTGTATTTTTTTTCATCCTCCGAGTCATTGGAATCTGTGATTCAGGTCACGTGACACCGGAGAGGGCGGTTCCGTTAATTTAGTCAGTCAGTCAGTCAATCAAATGACTCGGTAGTTAGCTCTTTAGCAGTAGCGAGCGAGTCATTGTACTAGTAATAATGCGTCAGTCTATCTTTGACCGAAAGATCTTAATTAAGAGTAGCAATCTCAACTCTGAGGCCTTATAGTCCCGGGGTTAGCGTTTAATGCTGGTAATTATGAATTTAAATGTGGTTTATTGAACAGATTTACCAGTAAATAGTAGTAATACACTACTATAATATACTCTGTCAACCGATGCTTTTATAGAAGAGAGCTGGTGAGCTTTTAGCGCCTGATTTCCAGAGACCGTTGTAGAGAAAGTTTTACCGTTTCTAATGGTACAAACAGAGCAGCAGTGGTGAATTTTAAATTTGGAGTGGTTGCAATTTTTTAACTGTTTTCCTGCTGAATTTACAGCTAAAATAAACGTGGGAGGCAACCTAGAATTTGGCGCCATTCATAAAATTGCCTTTTTTTTTTTTCTTGGGTTGGTTTGGAATTCCCATGCTGCTCTCTAAGCAATTTTATACTATTCGGGAGTAGACTAAAGACCAGATAGGTGTAGAAAAGAGCATTCCACTCGTACTTTTGCCAGTTGCCACCTTGGTACCGTATCATCTGAGACCTCAACCACCTCTCCTCTACCACTTTCTTGTATTTGTATTTAGCTTACGAGTGGCGTTTAACGTTTGGGCTTCACTATTTCCACTTGATCCTCACCATTACCTGCCCTTTGGGTTTTCCAAGATTTTTTTCTTTTGTTGGTTTTTTGTTAGACTACAAAATTAATGGTTTTAAGTTTTCCAAGTCAATAATGTCGTATAGTAGTATTGTTAAACACAGTGAAAAGCACTAGAAATTACCACTTCTTTACATGGCATGACATGCAAGAAAGACAGGTGTCATGCCTGTTCCAGGATAAACATTGGCCTAACATTTAAGAACCAGGAAAAAAAAAGAAGGGACCATTGTACAAGATGAATTTTACAATCTAGCTACACGGATGCTTCAAAGATAAATTTCGCAGGGACAACCTAATTAAGTACTTAATAAGGGATGGAATAAAGACAGTCCTATAACATATCCGAGGATAGTAGTCACGCCGGTTTCATATTTCCCTTTTCAATTTCTTAAGAATCCCTGACGAAGGAATACAAATTTAGATGTGAGATTGTAATATTGTGTGTCTGACCAAATCTCTATATACATAAATTCTGTTCTTTTTTATGGAGCCAATTCCTTTATTATCTTGACACAGATTTAGGTGTTTACAATGAATAACTCCTGTCATGCACATTTAAAAATGTACTCATGCTTTGGTGTCCGCAATCAATAATCACCTCAACGTTATAAAAGCTTTGCCCAAATTCATGACCGGACAGGATCGGTTGGTTCAACCGATCGAATTGCGAATCGTTCACAGCTCTGGTCCGATTTATACTTTAGGTTAATTGGACTTAAAAATCGATAAAAACCATTTGAACCATGCGAAACCATGCAAATTGGAATAAACCGTTGGACCGATAGTTTTTTTTTTGTTTTTGTCTATTAAATTGAAAAAAATAAAAAAAAATAGATTTCCCTTAATACTAAAGACTAATTATTAGATGTCACATCCATTCACTTTTTTCTCATTTTTTTTTGCCTCTCATAAAGTTTGCATCTCTATTTTTTTATTTTCCTAACTTCCTCCAAACTCCAAACTTCTTTTTTTTAAAAAAAAAAATTGCAATCTCTAAATTCCAAAAACGTGATTCAAAATTTAAACTCACAATGTCTAATTCCCATGTGCGTGAATTTTGTATCATTTCAAAATATTATGGTATTTTTGGATTGAATTTCAAACTCACAGTGTCTAATTCCGAAACCAAACTAACTATTCTTCAAAAAAAAAAAATCCAACCTAAATTTACTTGTTTATTCATTTTGCCCTAGTAAGTTCGTTCATTTAACGTTAAACCAACAACAAGTTTACCGTACAATACAATTTTTTTTTCCCGTCCCCACTTAAATCTTGAGTATACAGACGGCAAATTCAGATGCTGCTAAAAACCAAAAAATCTTTAACGGTTTTTATCCTTGCGTACATGTTTCAAATTAGGCAACACGGCTAAACGAACGTAAAGTACGAGGGGCAGTACAGTAACTTTGACTCACTGTTCACTAGTCTAAGGTTTCAGTGTGGGCGTGGGCCGGCCCAAGGTTATTGGATCCCTTGCTGCGGCTGCGGAAGGACCAATCATTCCTTCGCGGCACATCAGACAAATAAGCCGTCTAAACTGTTTCTTTATTCACCAGCCGGTTTCTGATTAGTCATTAATTATGTTATTATCCCATTAATCAAACTTAAACAAAGGTGACGCAGGATGTCAAGTTGAGCGGTGCGGGTACCACTTGACTTCCACGAGCCTGATTATGGAAAGAAGACTTGCTCTGGGGGCCTCTTTCCAACATTTAATGATTGGATGTAGGTTTCAAACAGTTCTAATCCCGTCGCGTAGCTTTTAATGAAATTCATATCTCTATTTATTCATTGTGCTAATTGATGACCAATGCCCCCCATATACGTAATTCATTAGTTACTTTAAAATAATCCAAAAATACTACGATATTTTTTATCGAGTATTTTGGGAACACCCGGCATGTCATGCATAGAATTTACTATTTAAATGCACGTACTCATATATTTATTTTTTCACTTGATTAATTTGGGTTATTTTTCTTTGACGATTTAAGCTCGTTTAGAGGAAGAAGAATAAGCTTACTACAGGTACACTCAATCGATTAAAAGGTACTATGGTATCATTTTTAAATTTTTTTTTTCCTGCAAGTGTAATTTGAATCCCCACCTATAATCCAAAGAAGGATTTGGCCATTGAGTCAAGCTCAGTGATTGATAGCTCTCGTTTCTATCTTTTCAATAATTCGGGAATATGATTCTCAATGTACATCCAAGTTGACTCAAAATATGACTCACGTGATCGAGTGTTCATTACAAGAAAAAAGAAGAAAAAAAAAGTTTATCTCAATCACACGAAGGATATCTTGTTGAGAGATTTACGAAAACAACCATTTCTCCTGTGCTACGAAAGGATTCCCTCAAACCAATTGGGGCCGTATACAACAAACGATGACTCAATAGGCCATATTAAGGAAAGGAAAGAGTACTTTTGTTTGTTTCATGGTCAAAGTAAAGTTGACCCGCAGACGGGAATGAAAATTGTCTTTACATGGATGAGATCTCCAGCCTCCGTTAATACTGTCCAAAGGGTCACTTTCTCCCAGAATGCATTAGCACTTTTCTTAAACTTAAATTAATACTGGGATTAAGGCTAACACGCTTTTTGTTAGGTGTTGTTTGCTTTGCCTGGCTCAATACCATCATTGAGCTATAAACTCAATTGACACGAAATCTTATTTCCTAGGTGGCCTAATTGAATGAATGATTAGTTGTTAGGCCAAGAAATCGTAACAGGAATTTCCTAATTAATAAATCATTTGCCGGTTTGTACACTAATCAGATTTTGGATTATGCTTCATCACTTTGTGTACAGACACATGTAATTGTACGTTCTGTTGTTGGATGCAAAATTTGGCCATAAAATGACTCATTTAAGACACTAGTGGCTTGGTTGGGCATATATATATATATAAGATTGGTTTATACTTGATTTTACGTAAACAGCTGAAATGGGAATTTTTTTGAACTTAGTATGGTTAATGTTACCTAGGACATTTACTTTTGTCTTAAGTGAAATAGCACTAATATAATCCGATTGATTACTAGCACGAATATGAAATTAAGGTCCTAAACTAAACCTGTGAGAAAAGACTGCAGTGAACTTTGTACAGTTTATTCCATTTGTTCCCTGAGTTAGTAAAATGCTCATACCGCATGAGCCACTTACAAGGAAACGTACATTGAAAATAAAAAACAATAAAATTGTCGACCACTCACATAATGTATAGTTTCACTGAATGACATTTGAGATTAACTAAATTGACATTCATCTTGTTGATCATACAGTATTATTGTCATGTTAACATGGTAATGATAATAATTGGTGTTTCATTTCATAAGAGATCCAGAATGGTCGAGTGAAGAAGGGATTAGCAAAGACAAAATACTCAATAGATACCCAAAACCATAAACTAAAGGACAAGTAATCTAAGTACAAATGGATTCGACAAAAGTCTCTTAAAAGACTTTTTGAGTTTTTGATGCATGTAAGTAATACTCTCTATAACAACATGCATTGATCTTCGTTTTCTCGAACTCCGACATTTTTACCATTGATTTGCCAGTTGTGATTTTTAACTCGATCGACTTCGCAGGAGGAATGAAGTCAATGGACATCTTCCCCAAGATGGCAACTAATTAGTACTGTTCCCCCTTTGAGCCACCCAATTGCAGAAAATCAGTACCTTTCTTTGCGTCCTGTTCTGTATATCGGCTTCCAGTTCCACCCAAGTCAAAACCCATCATCGACCTTACCACCTCAATCAA